CTCTCTCTTACCCCTCCAATTCTCCCCCCCATCCCATCGGGGTAGGGGGAGTGAGCGAGCGGCTGCGTGGTGCTTAGTTGCTGGCTTGGGCTAAACCACGACACATACGCAGCCATTTAATCTAACCCTGAACCCAGCCCACAGCTTCAGTCAACAGCAGCACTATTCTACAGCCCTTTTTTTTTTTTTAAATAATAATTTTCTTTCTGTTCCTTGCACGCTTGCTATTTAATTTTTAAGTAGGTTGCACACTGGAGTGGATTGCAGTTGTTCTTTTCCAGCATACATAAATAGTCCTTTCATTATCGAAAAGGCAAGCCTTGAAACAAGAGTCAAGCATCTGGCACTGGTTCAAGTTACTGTAGCATAACAGGAGACTGGAAACAAGACCAAGTGATTAATTTGGCATCGCATTTAATTCATTTTTATCACTTACTTGTTAACTCTGATTTTAAGCTATCGCCTTGTCCTGAATTTTTATTCCAGATTGTCAGACTGGAATACTAGATTATTATCACAAAATTGTATAGATCTGCTTCCCATTCTGCCAGCGCTTACAGATATTTCTTCAAGGTATGGGACAGCCTTGTGCCATCTGTTTTTTCCTGAATTGGAAGCCAGTGGTACTGGATGGAAAGATGAGTGGTACCGGAGACTGTCCCCCCATCACTCTTACCTGTTTGAGACAGAAGTGGTGTGTAAGGGACTTTCGGTTCTATTGCACTCATGGGCGGAGGTAGCAAGGGGTTGGCAAAGCTGCGGAGAGGGTGCGTAGGGCGGACGCAGGCGGTGGGGATGGTTCTGCTCGGGGCGTCCTCGTTGTTGGAGTGCTCAGGCTGCGTCTGCGGCAGCAAGGACGGCTGCTGTGGTGCTGGTGCTTCGTTTACAGCTGCAAGAGAAGAGTCAAACAAACAAAAAAGGAGAAAACGAACTATTACTGATGTACTTTTACGTCCCATTTCCTACTTTTATGGTCATTTTCAGCAGAAGGGACAGCATTAGCCTCCACCCTCCAAGAAGGTGCAGGAAATATGTAAACAGCTCCATCAAAAGTTATTTGCAGACAAATTGAAAACCAGATGTTCCTCAGAGCGGCTGTGTGCCATTTGAAGCTCAATACATCTTCCTTTAAACAAAAAACAAGCATGATATTTTTATCTCCTCCTCTCTATTTCCTTTTAAATATTAAAAATCAATAAACACATAAATACATCATGTGGAGATTGAAACAAGCTACAACTATGGAAACTCATTTTATTCAGCATGACGGTACTGTTCTAGTCATAGCGGAGAAAAGCTAGAGACAAAGAAAGGACTTAATTAATTTCCACATAACCAATCACCAATATTGTTTTTCCTTGAGACAGCTGTAACATTTAGTGTGCCAAAGCAGCAAGTTCCTGTTTTATTAGCCTATATTCAAAGTCAATTCTTCAGAGATGTAAATGTACCGTGTCAACCTCTAATATAGAATCATAGAATCGTTTAGGTTGGAAAAGCCCTTTAAGATCATCCAGTCCAACCATTAACCTACGCTACCAAGTCCACACTAAACCAATCAGGGGTAGACTAGACTATATAAAAGACAGCTTCCCTATATTCCACAGTGTTTCTTCAAAGAAGCTTTCAGTACCAACCTCTGTCGTGGACTTTCCCTGCCAGAAAACAGAAGCAAACGCAGTATTAAGAGAAATAAAGGTTGAGACGAAGAGAAAAGCCCTTTATTTCTACAGCCCTCTAGAAACCCATGTTGTACCCAAACTATAAATTACAATATGTAATTGGTAACATTGTAATATGGTGAATGGAGCTAAATCCAGTTGGCAGCCGGTCACAAGGGGTGTTCCCCAGGGCTCAGTACTGGGGCCAGTTCTGTTCAATATCTTTATCAATGATCTGCACGAGGGGATTGAGTGCACCCTCAGTAAGTTTGCAGACAACACCAAGTTGGGCGGGAGTGTTGATCTGCTTGAGGGTAGGATGGCCCTGCAGAGGGACCTGGACAGGCTGGATCGATGGGCTGAGGCCAATTGCATGAGGTTCAACAAGGCCAAGATCTTTAAAATTTCTTCCTGACCACTATGCCTTCCATGACAAGCCAAACAACTAGTTAAGAATTAATTACAAGGAGGACTGATAAGTGTAAGTCTGCTATGGTGCTCTCTGGATGGCAGCAAGAAGTTCATTTCCCCATGCCACAGGAAAGAGCCTGCCACTTCTATTCTCTTCCTATTGCAGGACGAGAATAAGCAAATTGGATTGAAAACACCGTCTCACACCTTCTTTCCCAAATCCTGCATCATGTTGCCGTTGAGGCTTCCCCGGAGCTTGGGTCCATGGCCTCTCCTGGCCCCTCTCCCAGCTCCTGCCCCACTGCCCCAAGGAGCAGCACTGGAGAAAGTTCTCCCCTTGGTGAGAATGCCCGCAAGGCCTGACATTATTTGCAAGTGGAAGGAAGCAAACTGCTTGGTGAAAAGCCTGATCAAAACAGGAACTTAGTTAATTTGAGCGTGTTGGTGTTGTCCAGTGCCTCCACAGTATCTATGCCAGCCAGGATGGCTCACAGCACAACAGTTAATCATGCAGCTTGTGGCAGGAAACAGAAATCTAGGAAAAGCTCAACCTTTTACTGAAGAAAACAACATTCCTGACACACAGATATCAGAATTAGTTGTTATACTGGGACCCAAAATGCTCCAGAGGGTCTGGTTTCTTTCAAAGCCTGCTGCAACAACCAGAACTCATTGTGCAAATAACATGCAATTACACAGCCAAGTCAACTCTCAAGGCATTTTATAATAATTAATGTCAAAGTATATAAGTAATTACAACCTACTAAGTGGCAAAACAATTTTGAAAAATGGAAATGAGGATTCCTCCTCATTTCCACAGCCCCATTGCTTGTTCCTATGGCAATACTGCAGACTTCCCTGGCAATATTGAACACCACGGATAGGAACCCAACTACAGGATCAGACCAAGGTCAAAATCATCTGCAGTTTGTAAAAGTTTGCTCAGCTGTGGCTCATTTTCCTTCTTTTCACCTTCATGGCTTTTTGCATTATCACACCATTACCTTAGCTCTGCTTTTCCATTTCCTTCCTTGCCCAGCAGACCCCTCTCTGTTTTCTTCTCTGAGGACTAATATTGTCCTTAAGGAGGCCAGAGATACCAAGGTTATTTGTAACAGGGTAGAGCAGAATGATAGTTTAGCTCATTCCACCCTTACTCACTGCTCACACGTGCAAGAAGGTGTCACAGCGTGTTGCTGCTCTAGGCTACCATGGGCATTGGGATCTTCTCTCCCTTCACCTTGTCCCAGTCAAGGAAGATGCAAAATAGCATGTGAGTCTCACAGAGGTATACATCTGAGGTTACAATGCTTTCTGGAGCAAAACCTTGGCGAGGTCTTTGCTTAAAGTAAAAACAAAGCCTTTTGTCTATGCTCTTAGCCTCAGAACATCTTTCAACATGTTTGTTGAAGTCTGAATTTCCTATGGAGCCCAACACTTTTCATTGTGTTCTTAAGGACAGTTCTTTTGGGATGCTCTTGACCTGCTTGGAGAAATAAGTAAACCAGACACTTACTGCTACTTGCCTTCAAATACCTTCTTGGTATTTTCTGCAGTGGTGCTCTCAGGTAACAAAGCTTTATAAGCTTTATCAGCCAGCTTCGGCCTAATGGTCTCTGCATTAAAAGCCTTTATATTAAATTACTGGTTTAGCACATGGGTATGTTTTTATCTTATGGATTTAGTTGTAAAATCTGGAGACCTACATAACCATTATGACATAAAAGATTTCAGGTTATCCTCCAGCTATTACTGAAGAGAAAGGTGTGATGACTCTATTAAAATTAGAAGCTAGAGTTGGGATTTAAATATTGAAGTTAAGTGGTCTAATGAAGGTGCTTCATGCTTCAGAAGACTCTGTTCTGAAATAACATGTGCAAGCTTGCAAACATAATGAGAACCATCAATTTGCAATTCACTCAAGTCCCTGCAGGAAGAGAGGATGGATTGTTTATTTGAAGGATGGATGAAGATGAGCACATCGCCACTGCTGCCTGTATCACCTACATCAATCCCCTGCCTAGCAGCCAGATATTTGCCTTCATACACCTCAACAGAAGAGCCCAAGACTTCTGATTATTTCTACTAATCCAATTATTACCTTAGTTTTTTTACAGAAAGTAGACTCCCAACTGACCTTTAAGATGAAGCAGATATCATGTTGCATTCCAGTTGTGATCTTTTGCTCTTGAATTTAGTAAAATATTTTGCCAGAGTAAAGAAAATATTGTGCTATACATGAAGATCTGTTCTAAAGCCTAGTAAAACCAATTAGGGTCTCTCATTGCTTTGGAGAAGCCTTGGATAAAGCCCTACTTGCATTCATTTTATGTGTGAGGAACACTGGGAATGAGCTTGCTTTGAACTTCAGTAGCCATGGACACTGCTCACCAAGCAGGAGAATAAATACCTGATACAAAGTCTTTTGATCTTCCCTCTGCTTCTGCATGACTGTTGGTTGGCACAATGCTGTTAACCAGTTCAATGAATTTAGGTCTCCGAACATATTTTTATATTGTATATCTTCTATTAAGTAACACTGGAAATATTCCCACTTGGATTTGTAGCTATGGGCTCTGCCACAGTCTGAGGTAATGAAAAATCCATATGGATTGAACACAAAAGGTAACAGCAGTTCAAACTATGTGATGGTAGATGGGGACTTAAAATGACTGAACTTTAGTCCATATTCGCTAATGACTTCCTGGGTATTTCTGAACTTCTGCAGGTCATAAATATCATGTGACCAAGACTATCTACCTGCTGACAAACCAGGGCCTCATTCCCGTTGGGATCTCTGGATGTTATTGTAGCACAAGCAGTAATATTTTTTTAGTGTGTTTATTGTCAGGTTACTACTCTCGTCCAATTTTAGGTACATCCCGAAGAATACTTTTGAGAAATACTTTTAAAAAATCGCTAATCTAAACCTGAATCATGGGAACACGGCGGAAGCATTTTTAAATCATACGTGGTTAAATCCAAAGAATTACATACTGAAAAAAATTTAATTGCTTTGCTGATGATTCTGTTTGTAGAGGAAAACAAAGAAAGTGAGGCGCTAAACAGGACCTTACCTGCAACTCCATTACAGCACTCATCCCACTTCTGTGAGATGTGGCATCCCCTGCTGAAACCAAACTGGACCATTGAATAAAAATTACCATTTCCTCTAAATCCAGAATATAGCTCCTATAGGAGAAGGGATTTAAGTTTGCCAGGTGGATGGGCTCACTGCAGAGCTGACCGTTCACAGCCAGAAAGCCAGCTCCAAGAGGAAATGTGCTCAGGAAATATTTGCTTTAGTGCATCTGACTTTAACAGACTAATGTAGGTAAAGTTATCTCCATTCCATAACACTTTTCTATGGCTATCTCAAGCTATTAATGTAATTGTTGTTTTATTGTTCTGGTTTACACAATTTTCAATCTGCCTTTTGAATAGTAAAAACTAATATATTTTTACTTTTAAAAAAAAACCCATATTTTCTGACCATCTCCAAGTTTTTGTCCTGTGGATTATTTAGGGCAACAGACTGATGAATGGCTCCCTCTAAAAATGGGGCTGTTAGACCAGCTGCAGCCTTCAGGGTTAGCCTGAAGTACTCTGCCTCCTGTAAAAGTGAGATCAGGATGGGACCAGAATAGTCTGTTTCTGCTGACCAGTGTGTGGATGGGGATGGGGCAGGATGGGGATGGGGACACCCCAGTACCTCCCAAGCGGGATTTTTTTTTTCCCTACTGGAGACCACGATGGCTCAGCATCTCCAATGGCTGTGGCAGAGGCAAAAAAAGAACATCTTCCTTCCATAACACATGGCAAACTAGGCATGGCACCTTCTTCTCCTACCTGTCTTGATAAAATTGTAAGCAGCGGGTGCGACGGAGATCTGGAGGAGCCTGGGAGGAGAAGGCAAACTGTGGGAAGGATTGCTGACCAGAGAACTACTACTTTATTATGACTCAGAGATGTTTTCTGTCTGGAAAAAATTGATATTTAGCAATTGTATTTTATGGCTGGTAGTGTCACCAGCAGTAATCAAACAGGAAAGACAGCTTATTATTCAAGCTCTGGCTGGGGCCTGACTCTCCTTTCCATTTGCTTTAGTTTCCTCTTCATTTGTCCTAAAGATAAGTTGCAGCACTTGAATCTTCGGGTCAATGAAAAAGGCCTTCAGAAACAGAGGAAGGTGTTCGAGCACTGTCTGTACGGCACGACGCAGAGCAACACCCTTGCTAATGGCATGGCGTATGATTTATTCAGGGATTGCCACATCTTGATCAATAGGGTGCTCGGTCATGCAGTACCGCAGGTAGGCTCTGTCTCAGAGGAATTATTGCTGGGTACTTCTTTTTCAGACACAGCTGCAATCGGTGAAGCGTCAAGTGAGTTTTTCACTGAGGGGTAAAACACACGAAAAAAGCTTTATGTGTCATCTCTATAGGCTCTGTAACTGCTAGTTGCTCTCAACCGCATGATCATATTAAGAAAACAGCCCCAAAGTAAACAAACTCAAAGTGTTAGAGTCATTTTGTTGATCTATCCCCATTCTCTGCTCCAGCGAGGCGGGCAGTGAGGCAGTGGGAGGTGAGCCACAAAGCAAGCACCTGCTTTTCAGTCAGATGCGTTCTTCCAGATGGGCTGGCATCGCCCGCGCTAGCATTCGGTGGCACCAACACCGGTGCTGAGAAAAGCTTCAGGCATCGTATTAGAAATATACTTTTGTATCCCTTCATCCCTCCTCGGACTGAAAAGTAATGAAGACTGCCATTATACAAACCTAGTGAACTGCTTGGCTGGTTCTGACAGTGTCAAGTGTCATTAGGAAACAAACACTATTTCGATGTCCTTATCTGCGCCTTCGCTTCATTGCCGTGGTGGTGAAAACGTAAGGCACAGCGAAGGAAGAGAATATTCCATTTGGAGGTATTTTGTATGATCTGGGAGCTCTGGAAGTCAATAGCCTTTGCTACAGAGCACAGCTGCAATGGCTATAACAGGTCGTCATTGCGCATTGTAACGGGCTTAGATAATTTTTGAAATACCACAGTCCTGATTACCCAGACCTCAACAATCTGAAACAAACAAGGCTATGTCCACTGCTTTTGAATTATTTAATGGGAAATTGCCTAAATTATCTGAAAACTTCACTGCTTGAGCTTTTTCAAGGCCCATCAGGTCTTCTGAATAATTAAAGCTGGTTTGTATTCAAGCTTCTTGAAGAAAACTTTTGTGTATTAGCAATCATCTGTTCAACTCTCAAGCGCGCTGCCCTTGAAAGAGTTGGGCAAACCCACACCTTTCTATACAGACCTTCCCGCAGGAACAGCCATTGGTTCCAACAGGATTTCAGAGACATTCCTCTTTTTGAAAATCTCATCTCCAGGCTACTACATGTGTAAATCTAGTGGCTGGACCAGGCAGAAACTGGATGCACCAGGGATGTGTGATTTTGGAGGTTGTGCCTAACTGATCCCTCAGCAATCGTGTCCCAGCCAGCTCTCCATACGGTATTCACCAGCGGAGCTGCCTGCATCCCTGAGGCATCAGCAAAACTAGGGAAACCTCCCTCACTTTCACAGCTGGACTTTGGATCTGAGGACTGAAGATGCTCAGATCCTTTATGAGCAGGTGGAGATGATGATGGCTGAGCAAACAATTCAGTCTTCAATTTTTTCTTCTTCTGTCTCTATGATCAGGCAGGGGGAAGTCAATTTTTTCTCAGCAACAAACTGCACTTTGTTTCTGTGCATTGCATTTATGGTGGATTTGGTATTAATTTAAGCAGCAGATCAAAACCTGATTATGCCAGCGAGGCCCTCCAGAGGAAATTGTCATCTACCTTTGAAAGGACCTCAGCAACCGCACTGAAGAGAGGGGGAATGGCATTAGGGGGATGACTAGGACACCTGAACCCACCTTCTACCTACAATCCGACCGCTGGATTTCAATCACCGGTCCCCACGGACCTGTCTGAACTGACTGAAAGCAACAATCAAATAGGAAAAATCAGTCGTTTCAAGATGAGTTCCCCATGGACCAGCAGCACAGACTCTCTGTGATGTGGGGAAAAAAAAAAAAAAAAGTGTAACAGATTGACATTAATCTGTCAATAATTCAGACTTGATATGCAGTAGAGTTAAGGGAGAATTGAAAGAAAATATGAGCCCTCCAACTATAATTAATATGCCAGAGCACGCTCGTTAGGCTTGAACAAAGAACAGATGGCTGCCGGTGGGGAAGAGGCTTACAAGTTGTGAAGGTGAGGCTGGGGGCTCGCGCTGCGTGCGTGCGCTTTCCCCAGACCACGATAAGGTGAAGAATAGTTACGGGAACACACAAACCACAAATCTGTTACTGCAGAGGAGCAAATACGAACACAGAGCTCAGTCTAGAGAAGAGACGAGTGAGGTGAGGCAGGGTAACAGTATTCAAATGTATACAAGGATCTGCAAAAAGAAGAAAATAAACTGTTCTCTATGCCTGCTATAATCGAAACAAGAAACAATTGGCTTAAATTTTAGCAAGTTAGATATTAAAGAAAATGTTTCTAGCAGCGAGGGCAGCTAAGCCTGGGAAGACACTGTGTGGAGAGGTCGTGCAAGTGCTATCGTGGGTGATTTTAATGCGTGATGATACTAGATTCTGCCTTGGGATGAAGAAGAGCCGTTGAAGCCTGCATTTTTCTGGGAATATCCTTATGAATAAAGCAAAGGAAATTAAAGTGCAGCGAAATGACTGACAGTCCTGCAGAAAAGACAGGATTGGATTAGAGATGCAGTGACTTTTAACTTTTAAGATGTTCAGTACAGATTAGAAATTGCAACTGGAGCTGCTGCTGGAAAAGAGGCAGCCCATGGGCAGTTGCTGTTACTCAGACCGGACTTATCCTGGCTCCCAAAAAGCAGGGCAGCACGATTTGCATCGGCTAGAGCTTACACATCCCAAGGATAGAAAGCAACCTCTTTCCAAGCACTGTAATAGCGAAGAGCAGAAGAAAAGCACTGTACTGACTTCTTCCTGCTCCAAAGGTCCTGTCCACAGAGAGGGTCGGGAACGGCACCGGCCGAAGGGTGAACTGCGGGTGCGGGTATCCGCAGGTCGGGGACGGCAGGATCCCGGGATACTGGGCACTTTCTAGCGTTGGCACCGGAATGGCGCTGACCACAGCTAAAAGGAAAGAAGGGGAGAGAGATTAAATGAGTGCTTTCAGAAAATTTAAAAAAAAAAAGTCCTTAGAGGGTCAGTGGGGAACCAGAAACCACCGAGTTTCCAAAGCAAAGTACCCAAATGCTCGGTATAAAACATGCCTCTGCCCACGGAAGCCACCTCTGGGTACAGAACTATGCCTCTTCGGTATACAGTGGATCATTGCAAGTGCAGTCTGCAATTATTTCTCTGTAAAATTAAATAGCTTTTTGTCTGTGTTCCAGCTATTCAGCCGCATTTTGGGGGGTGCTTTATATCCCTTGACAAATAAGTGAGAAGGAATGGATCAGGCAACTTCAGGGCTTGTTTCAGTTGTCCAAGCGCAGGTCCCTGGTGCCATTTCTGATGCCTCAGGAGAGCCTGCTGCCCTCAGCCGCTGCTGTGGAGGAGCGTGGGCTCCTGCCACTCTTCCATCACGTCTGCCAGCTTCACACCAATGTCCCTGACGCCCTCGGACGTCCCCAGTGGCACAGGACCCCCATGTTTACCCATCAGCTGAGGCTGCCTGGGCATCATTCCCCACTCAGGAATGGCCAAGCCTTTAAGGAACAGGGCTGAGATGCGGCAGCAAGCCAGTAGCTAAAAGTCTGAAGCTGAAGTTGAGTTACAGAATCATAGAATGGTTTAGGTTGGAAAAGACCTTTGAGATCGTCCAGTCCAACCATTAACCTAACAGTACCAAGTCCACCACTAAACCAATTAAGTTCTCGAGTTGAATTTAAGTGAAACACTTTGATTTGAAAACCAGGATCACAGCGTGATGAATTCAGGCTTTCCTGTGAGTTATCTCTGTTATTTTCAACGGTCAGTGCTCGAAGAGTGGGTGATGATAATGGTATACAAATCATAAATCTCTTTGTAGCTTTTAGGAAAAGCTTGGAACCTCTCATTAAAGTTTTGCCCAGCTAAACAATAAACAGAGATTTTTGGCTCATTGATGATAAAATTTGGCTTAGCTAGCACCTTTCACACATGAATTATAAACAATGCTGTGAACTTTAAGATAATGATTACAAGTACTTCTTGCTCCTACTACATCCATTACACAGGGTGGCAAATTGGGCTACCTGCCCAAGGTCACACAAGAAGCCATGACAGTGCCAAGGCTTTATGAGGGTATTTTTAAGCACACAGCTTTCAGCGAAACAACACTGCACTTTCAGAGGTAATGGACAAGTGTGGAGATGAAGAAAACTCACAAAGAAATGCTAACCTGGGTGATCTGAGCTTCAGAGTTGTCTGGGTTCAATTCACCCACTCTTAGAAGAGAATTTCTACTATTCAGACATCTCATTTTGTCTGTATAAGACATTTTTATTGACAATATTTATCACATGGCTGCTACAGTGAAAAATATCACTCTTTATTGAATTCTGTTAAAGAACAACTTGTTTTTCAGAGTCCATTCCTTCATTTCTTTTTAGGGTGTAGATACCTAGCACTCTCATTTGTAAAATAAGACAGGATTACTATTCATTGCAGTACTCTATTGCAGAGAAGCTGGAGAAAAGGTAACTTCAAACATTTCCAATAAATCTTTGCAATTTCAAGCAGATATGACAACAAATCTGTTCTGTCATAGGCTGTCAGCAATTGAATTTGCACTTAATATTGATATACTAAGACGCTGAAAACAGAAATTCCCTGACCAAATTATGGAGCTCCCTAAATACTGGCCTACATTTAAAATGTACTGTGTCATGTAAAAAAAGTGGCACCCAAGAACAGCTTACAGAAATGACAAAGTAGGACATTTTGAATTGTATTCAAGCACCCCAGAGGCTGCCGAAGCAACTGAGTTGACATGTTCATATTTCCCTGAAAAAAAGAACTGTTGTGATTTTTCTGCCTTTTTAGGGAGGGGGATAAAGAGAAAAAAAGCCTTCCTCAAACCAGCAGAAATCTCCCTCCAAACTGATTTACTCTGTGACCATTTCATTTTCCTCTTCCATAAGTAAAGATTACAAACAGAAAACAGGAGAATTACAGGTACAATACTTGAATGTGATACCCTGCAAAGACCTTCTCAATTATTTTTCTCTGTAAATACTCCTCTGCATACAACCGCCTTGGTATTTGTGACTGCCTGTATTTCAGCAACATTAGAGCCATCAAAGATATCACTAAAACCTTATGAAATTTATCTGGTTTATGCTCCTTCCACTTCAGTAAGCAAAGGCGCATTAAGGAGTGTGTTTGTTCTCAAAGACTGCAAATACTGATTATTGAGATGAGCGTGAATACTTCCAGATTTGGTATTTAACAATTAACAGTATGTGTTTTTTACTTCAGAATTACGATGTTGCTTCTTCAATCTATTTAATCGCTCACTGCTGACAATTTCTTTCAGTATCAGGCAAACAGAGAGAAATTAATTAAAGCATCTAATCTGACAAAGCCTCCATTCCATTTTCTGGGAAAAGCAACATATTAAGCACAACCCAGCCTGCTCAAATGCACAAATAAGACTTTTATAAATCTGAGTTTAATTATTTGCAAACAATCATAACACGTTGTCGCTGTAGATTAGATTTATACTGTTGAAAATATAAATAAATAGAAAAGAGGACATCATTTGTCAAAATGCATCATTTGACTGGAAAAACTAAGTATGCCTAAGAGCACTTTTATCTATAAGCTGTAGAACAATGTTGACTTGACTTGTACTTAACTAACACTGCTATTGACCCATGGTAATTACAATTGATTTGGTTCTGATTTTGCTTACACCACTCCAAATCTATCCATTTCCTTGGACTGCTGCCTTCCTTCAACCCAGGCCAACGCAGGAGGAATCCCACTGCAAAAAGGGCCAATTGCCTGACTGTGAGATTAGCGTGGTTACAAGATGGGAACATTTCCCATGGCATGCTCAGGTGGAGTAAGAGCTTTCTCCCCCTCAACCCAGAGGTCTTCCTTCCAGACCATAAAGAGGGTGGAGGCTGAAATGCGGTGATATGTCCAGCCCAAGGCATGAAGAACTGGAATTCAGCCTCTCCCTGGGCACCTGTGGTTTATCCTCGTAAGGGCTGGGTACTGAGGCTGAGCAGCGTGACCTGAATCGTGCCCGCAATGAACACAAATTAAGGGAACCGATACTAGCTCCTACTAAGTAATTTGCTGAGCAAAGCCACGGTAGGTTATTCCCTCTCCTTCACTCAGTTCCTTCTGTTTTTTTTTAAATATCTCATTTGTGATGTGCCCTTCCACAAACCTACGAACAGGCACTTACATGTAACTATCAGAGCTAGAAAGACATTTTGTGATGAAACGGATTTCTGTCAGTATATGGTCATTTTTCTTAACTCAGACTATTTACACAGATGTACCAATTCCTACAGATTTTTGTTCAGATCCATTTTGTGAGGTCAAAGGTAGAACTTGTAGCTAAAAGCTGAGAGCTACCAAGAGATTGATCACAGGGCTGCTCGGAGGAAAGGTGGAGACCCAAAGCCTCATCCTCCACCGGGAACTCGATAAGTGCCAAACCCTCCCTCCGGTGCCTGCGGGCTCTCACTTATCCCTTTCCTTTCCTCAGATGTGAAACAAGGTCACTTCAGAAATTTTAATAAGTTCTGCAGGATGGGAGAACCTATCTAATGCTCTCCAGTCTTCCCATCTTTCTTGTGTACTTTGCCACTTTGTGAAAAAGATTCACTTCATCTATGAAATCTGTTCAATGATAAACGCTCTGGGTCACTAAAATTTAACACCTATTAAAAATACCTTTTCTTCTCATTTACTTGGCGTTATAAGAGAGCTGCTCCATATTAAAAAAGCATGTAGTGGTGTGGCCAACTACTACAGACAAAAGAAAATATAGCAGAAACTGCAATAATGTCCAGCTGGTTATAATTACTGATAATAATATCACAATTTACATCTGTGTATTGCAAAGCCTTCTGCTCTGGCAGCTTGAACTCTTACCCCTGGTTTTGAAGTTTTATAGCAGGGAGACAGAGGGATTTATCCATCCCTATCCACCTGGTAAAAATAGAAACGATGACTCTTTAGGTTTAGCCTGGGCTGAGGCCAGCGGAAGTATGATTTCTGAATTCTCTCCCTAGTTTTTCCACTGATGCATTGTGAAGCCCTGGCAATCTTCCAGGGCTTTTATTTTTTTTTTAGATGAAGAAAACATTTGCTGACGCTATTTAACTTTATGAGGCATAACTAGACCACATTTGAAAGATCGTACGAGATCTTCAGGTGGGTGAGCACGGCTTGCAGGGTGCAGAAGGGGGCTGGGAGAAGGTCCTGGTACTCACGAGGGTTGTTCGGTTGTGAATCCATGGGGATCATGAGCTTGGCACGGGTGGCTCTGCGGGCAGCAAGTGAGCGCTCTAACGTGGACATGCTGCTTCCCACATCTTCTGTCTCTGGACCTAGAGAAAAACAATACAATAGCTCACTTGAAAATGCTGTAAATGAATGTTTCTCTTCACCCTGTACCTAGCAGAAAGATCAGGAGGGTTTTTTAGAATTCAGTTATTTTAACCAATCATTAAATATCATCACCTGCAAAGAGCTGCACAGACTATCTTGGCTGCCTTTTCTGAATAAAATTGTTTGCATTTTTCTGTAAGACAATTAAGATATCATGTCCCCTTTTTCTTTGTCTCTGGAATGATCCTGAAAACCCCATTCACTTCATAAAAATACGACATTTTTCTTGTAACTTCCCTGTTATAAACTTGTTTTAAAACTCAAGTATCAAGACCAGAAAAAGGCTGCATAAATTCAGCTACCTACAACATCTACAAAAGCCAAGAACTGGTCTTTGAAGTACATCTGGAGGATGAAAACGACCTTGCTTGTGAGATGCCATGAAGTCCTATGTCCTGATTGTCCGGTAATTCACGGTGGCTCTTCCAGCCTGTGCGTCTTGTTTTTTCTACAGAAACCATGGCAAGTTGAAGATGTGCCTGGATCATCCCTTGATTTGGTCCTGGATCGCAACCAGCACATCTAGATCAGAGAGCTGACATACGCTGCCTAATGTCCAATCCAATTCAAAACTGCCCCAGCAGCTATATAAATTAGATATTCTGTTTAGGTATTGAAATATGGATGCTCTAATTTAGTCACATTAGTATAGGATATTTGAAGTATTCAAAAATTCTAGAGAATACACTTGTCAGAAAGAAAGTGTGCTTGGAACAGGACGTTTGGTAAAGTAATTTGCAAGGAAATAAAAGCTGTATTTCTCTCTTCATACCCTGTCTCACATGAACCTCATATTTATGTTACTTTTGCTATTTGAATAAACCATGGATAAGGTCCATTTAATACTGTCATACAATTAAACTTAATACCCACTCAGAATACTCATCTCTGATGTACACAAGCAAACACATATTCCTTAAAAAAGAAAAAGAAGATTTGCATGAAAAGACTATTTTTTTTTTCCAAATCACTCTTCTCTGAATTGCAGGACTGAAATGCCAAGTCTTCTATTGATGGCCATCAAAGACCTAATTGCTAGTGAAAAGCCAGGGACAGCGTTACCAAACTGCATATTACAGATTGGGAAGAAACATAAAGGCATTTATTTACGGTCCAAGGCGTTTACACATAAAATATCTAGCCCAGCCTTTGTCATTAACTTGCTCATACGCTGTGATGACTTCCTACCATGCGCTCGATTGCAAGCCTACTGCAATCAATGAAGCTCTCGCATTGATCTTTCTGGGCCCTGGATCAGCGCTTCTGATCGTCAGCAATATCTGTTTAGGCAAAGGGAATCTTCTGGTTCTGTTTTGCCAATGTCTAATATAACGAGGACCTTTGCGTTAAAACCAACAGAAATCATTGTCACAATTATCTTCTAAATAGTAACCCACCAGCCCAAAACACAATGTCAGGCAAAGGAAATGAGATCCATTTAGAGACCTGAAAACTGTTCCTTTTTAACTTTTCTTTCCTTGTGAGAACAGGAGTTATGGAAAAGGGATAAAAACGTCAGAGGCATGTGAAAAAGTCACCTTCATTATTTACCGCCCCCACCGATACTCTGGAATTATTTCACTCCGTCACCCAAGAGCAACGTGTTCACGATGAACTCAAGACAAATACGTTTGTGTTTTCAGCTTCCATGCTGTGTTTTGCCCTCTGTCCCCCTCTGTATACACCACCTGCCTCTCCCAAAACTTACTATTGTTACGGCAGAAAAAAAATGTTATCAGCTAAAGAGAAACCTGTGATGTGCTGTGTGCATGAAGGTTAAAAAAAGGAGGAGGAAACTTCCCTGAAACCACATCTTTCTTACAGAATTTCTTTCTTCATATCTGTAAGTTTTCGCAGTCTCCCTGGCCCAAATTCTGCTCCTGGTGATGCTGCTGACCTTCTTCCTGATCATGCTCTCCCTTGGCTCCATTTTTCATGTCTTTTTTTCCCTGCTTACTTCTCCACACCCCCTTTTTCCTCTCTGTTTTTCTTAGCACAGCATGCAAATTCAGTAACATCTGAATTCCAGTTGAAATCCTGAGCTTAAAAAGTTAGAACGGTGTGAAAATAAAAACCGATGGGTTTTCCCCTAGCCTGAAACCACTGCAAAAATCATCCAGGAACACCTCTCCTGGCACCCATAGCAGAGCTGTCAATTCTTCCACTCTCCTCCTGGATCTTGCCAGGTTTTAGCCCTCTGTTAGAGACTCCATGTGCTGGGCTAAGATCACTAACCAGCAATATCGAATTCATTTAAAGAAAATTTATATGCTGGAGATGGAGAAAAAAAAATTGGACTACATGGAATGGGGCTGGACTAGGTGACCTTTAAGGTCCCTTCCAACCCAAACCATTCGATGATTCTATGATTCTGATTTCCCCAAATCTACAGAGCAAGTGAAAACCAGCCAATTTCCATCTCTCCTGCCCTCGGAGCCCCTCACCGGGCTGCGGCGTGCTCTTGCTGCCCAGCTGCGTTTCCGACTGGCTGTGGCTGACGGGGGTGATGTCCTGGCAGCTCTGCATCGGGGAGTCCCTTCCTGCGGGGTCCGAGCCCGTCGGCTTCTCGATGTTCTTCATTTCCATCTCCTCATGGTGTATCCACAGATCCGGGGGCCTCAGGTCCTTCTGGCTGCCCTTCCTTTTACCAGCACTGTGGGTTGCACGTTTCCTGCAGCAAAGAAAGATCAAAACTGCCACATAAGAACGTTCTTCCGCTTTATAAGACCAAAAGAGTGATGTCTACTTATTGGTGTCTCTCTAAGGAACCCCTCCGGTTGTGTCCTTCAAAGGACAGCAGTTATCTTGGGGTGCTCCTAGGTTTCTTGGAGTTTGCTCCAGGGGTGGGCCTGGGGCTCAGCAGGGTGGGTCATTTTTTGCACCCTCTGATGTAGAAACTGGGGAAACGCAGTCTTCCCAGAAAAGAAGGGAAGCGGCCAGTTTCATCTCGGGAAGAGCAGCACTTTGTGGAGTGCCTGCATCTACAAACAGCGACCAAAAACTGCCGAGCCCGTTTCTGCAGCATTATGCCCATCTTGTACCTCCCATAACTGCACGCAGCGTACATTCTATTTCTTTGAATATACACTAAAGCAGGATTTTTATCACAGAAAAGCTCAGACATCCAGAGTAGCATTTCCCAGCACAACATCAACCCTCTCTCTATGCATAGGCATTACAACACGCTCTCGCGTCAGCGTGCCACCTCCTGCGGGGAGCACACCGTGCCATGAGGGGATGGCACTGCTCCGCTCCTCTCGGACTTTCACCTTCCCTCCACTACACAGGCTATTTGTAACAAAATACGCATGTTTTTCTAGTCTAAAGAAAAGATACGCTCCTTAGAAATGGAGCACAATGTCTAATTTACAGCTGTAGAGAAAGTCTTATCAGCAATCTATCAATTTAAATAACTCCGAAAGAACAGTTTTTCTGGCTTATTGTTAGGGGGTTTTGCTCAATAATCCAAAAGTACTCTTACCCCTGTTTTTTTCCTTTGTACGTATCAAAGTACTTTGTGAAATGGAAGTAATATTACTGTCCCAAGTGGAAAAGTAGAAATATTTGTGATATACAAAAAGCTGCAGGCAAATATTTTCAAATTCCTGTGCACTTTTAGGCAACAAAAAAAAGAAAACCTTGATCTCCAGGGGCACTGAGTGCTCCCAGCTACTCGTTACCTCCATCATATGCTCACCCCAAAAGACAGCTGTGTACCTCCTGAAGGGACGGCTCTTTTCCAAATCCACGGAAAGCAATGCAAAACTTCTCACTGGCATCCCTAGGACTCACACACCGCGTGCATCTTTTGCGTAGGTGTGCTCGGATAACTGCCCTTCCTATCGCACGCTGCAGGCGGTATTGTGAAAGGTGGCACGGGATTATTTTACCAGAAAAAAGCTCAAGGAAATTTTAAACTTTAAGAAACTCCAATTGTTGGAGTCAATTTCTGTTCTTTGCTAAATTTTCTCAGCCTGGTCTAGAAAGCAGGAGATGCCTGTCACAACTACATGCACCACCAAACATTTTGCTTTTAAGAGAAGGAACAAACACATCCTATAATTTAAAATGTCAGCGAGGCCACAGCCCTGTCTCAGCCCCAGGAGCCGATGGCAATGACACTTCAGTAGAAGTATCCCAGTCCTCAAACCGCCACCCTTAAAGGCAGAAATTGTTTTAGGTGCTTTGACTGGCCGGTACCCCAAAAGCTCTTCAAGGGTCAAAAGATTAATTTTAAAATGTGATCTGGAAAGTTAGATGTAGAGGTGAGGCTGGGGTTGTTCAGAGATTTTTTTTTTTTATAGCGCCTAATAAATACAACTGTTGGTCTCTGGTTATAATTACTTCCTATATTTAGTCCGTTCTTTTCTAATTGCCAAATCTTAATTATTTAAAATGATAGTATTTCAAAGAACAGGGCAAAGGCACTGCGCTTTGCCCGTATGGAATAAAGACAGTCCTTTCATACCTTCCTGCACAGAGCCTGGTACCATCCTGATTAATACCTACAAGAATAATTATGAGCACTTCCAGTCAAACCTTAATGTATGACCCGCCTGAAGTTAAAAAGTAAAGTTGTTCTTTCTGTCTAATTCAAAAAAAAGACCATAATTTTGGTTCTAAACAAGGAATTACTTTCTTCACTGCGGGATATAGCAGCTTTTTTTGTCACTTGCAATTGAAAATAATTCATTTCTCCAGGCTCGAGCTAAGCAAGAGAAATTTCAGCCCCAAAGTAATTTTATACACAACTGTAAATAGGGGGTTATAATGAATGTGTCATTCCAACCGTAACTGCAAAACCGCTACAGCAATGATATCATTTAAAAATATATGGAATGATCTAGCTTGGTTTGCATTGTTTTTTTCCGACAAATTATTGATGTTCTGACAGCCCGTGAGTAGCAAATTGAATCAGAGCCAGGAGTGCATAGGAAAAGGTCATCAATAACAAATGAAAGTAAATCCTCCCCTGGAATGTTTAGTTTAGGCAGCGCAGAAGTTGAGGTGCGGCTTCTGAAAATGCATCTCCCCTCAGTTTCGGGGAGAGGCAGGATCTTTGCTGCACCAGGCAAGCACATTATATCCATAGAAGACACTCATAAAAGCTTCAGCGTCATCCTCAAACCTCAGCTGCAGCAACGGAAACTGATGCTTCGGAAGGGTGTGTTGAGATTTACAGCGGGATTCCATTTAGTCCATTACCCATTTTGTAACTGGAGCAGGGATTGGGAAGACAAGGCGTTTGGAATTGAAAAATTGATCTCAGATGGCAGCGTTTCTGTTGTTGTTCAATTATTTTACAACATGAAATGCATCCAGCTTGCATACCATAATGATATTTTTTTTTTTTTCCTAAGGATGGATATAAACACAGAGTTCAGCTCTGCCCTTAAAATACATATTACGGTCATGCAATCTTGAATAATGATAGCAGAACTTAAGCTGTACGTTCAAAATAAATAAACGCCCTGGAGAGGAAACTCTTTCTCGTTGCCTATTTCCATAGTTTCCAGCAAAACACTGCCTGGGCAGTGACTCCGGCCGTTCCACAGCTCACCCACATAGCTCCTAACAATATACACGCTACAGAGAATAATTTTTCAAATGCTCCAGAGTGAGATTACTCTTCATTGCCTTCATTTTACAGTTACATTACCCCAGAGAAAACAGTTAAGGTTATAACATCTCAGCCTAGTTTATTTTTTTAACAACAGCTGAAGATCTCTCCACCTGAAGAGCTCAGAAATAAACTGTTCTCCTGGGCAAAACAAGTTTTTGCTTGTAAAAAAACCCCCATGGTATGTTTTTTTTTTTTTTTAAAAAAAGCATGAAAAAAACCCCACCCAGTGGTGGTGCAATCAGATGTGTTTCCTCACGGAGCAGGGACAGTTTTGGAGGCAGGACGCAGAAGCAGTGGCCCCGTAAGACGTAACCACCTCCCGCACGAGCCCTGAGCCTCCTGTGCTGCTGTTTGCAAAGCACTTTGAAGATACTCAGCCATAAATGCGAACGTCACTTCACCTTAATCATCCTTCCGCTGCATGAGTTAATATTTTCTATTTTCTGCTCTTTACTCTTAACCTGGCAAAAATGTGCATTTTGCCTTTAGGGCTGTATTAAAGGAAATTCAACTGTACCAAAAAAAAAAAAAAAAAAAAGAAGAACACAAACCGATTCTTTCTCCAGAAAATCCCCCCCAGTGTTTACAAATGAAAAATTATTTCATTTTGGCCTCTTTTATTTCCTGCCAGCCATCCTCAAAAGCTGAAACATCAGTTCCTGTCTCTCCTATCATCTGGCTTCGTGGTCCTCTCCCCCGGTAGGACCCAGCCTCCCGCCACCGTGCAAGATGGGGCAGAGGCCACAGCCAACGAGCAGCCCCGGCGTGGAGGAAGCACAGAAACCAGGAGTATCTCCAGGGAACACAGCAGTGACACACGGAGGCTCTTCAGTGGCTGCCAACTCATTCCCTCTTAGTTTGAGTTTGATTACGCTTTGGTTAATGCCTCCCCCGAGCCTTCCCAAATCTATACTGGCACATCCCGATTACTTACATAGGACGTAACCTAGTCTTAGCTTATTTTTTGCAGCCTTTTTTTACACCGTTCCCCCCACCCAGCGCACTAATTGGTTGGGCACTTGCTCAAGACCGTGCTTCATTTCTAATGGTTTAAATATGCACTATTTACCTACCAGGCTCGGACTAGGTATCCACCCTCACCTTTTCTCCTGTGGTAGTCTTAACCTTGTGTTACCAGCCTATAGGCTAATTGTTCTGGCATGTTACAAATTCTTATAGAATCATAGAATCGTTTAGGTTGGAAAAGACCTTTAAGAACATCCAGTCCAACTATTAATCCAACATTACCAAGTCCATACTAAGCCAATCAAGGGTAGACTAGACTAAACCATGTCCCCAAAGTGCCACCTCTGCCCATTTTTTGAACACTTCCAGGGATGGGGACTCCACCACCTCTCTGGGCAGCCTGTTCCAATGCTTGACCACCCTTCCCGTGAAGAAATTTCTCCTAATATCCAATCTAAACCTCCTCTGATGCAGCTTGAGCCCATTTCCTCTCGTCCTATCGCTTGTTCCTTGGGAGCAGAGCCCAACACCCCCTCCCTGCCCCCTCCTGCCAGGAGCTGCAGAGCGATGAGGTCTCCCCTCAGCCTCCTCTTCTCCAGGCTGAACACCCCCAGCTCCCTCAGCCGCTCCCCACCAGCCCTGTGCTCCAGACCCTTCCCCAGCTCCGTTGCCCTTCTCTGGACACGCTCCAGCACCCCAATGTCCTTCTTGGAGTGAGGGGCCCAAAACTGGACACAGTATTCCAGGTGCAGCCTCGCCAGGGCTGAGTACAGTGGTACTTCTTACTCCTTGAAGTCTTAAAAAATTCCCAGAAGAAGCAGGTCCTGCAGTTCGGCTGTATGCTGTACAAAGTGATATTTTCCCTTATTTTAACATTCAGCTGGGATGCATCTTCTCTAAGCTTAAGCTCTGAACCGACCTGCCTGGACCAGGAAGGAGTGCACTGAAGGATGGAGCTGATGGTGGCCCCATCGTCCGCCCTCCGTGGCACCGCACCAGCAGACGCTGCCAGCGCAGGGCAGCGAGCATCTCGTGCTGCGGAAGATGTAATGAGGGCATGAATCTCAATTACTGCAGGAGCTGTACGTTCCCCTTATGCACAACTGGGTAAGTTATTGCACCTGAGTCTTTACTCACATTTTTCTCCCCTATTTTTTTACTGGCGTCAAATTGCCACAGAGTTTGTACAGCTCTTATTTCATTCTTCCCTAAATGGCAGAGACAGAAAATACCTACTAAGCCACCTAGGTCAGTACCAGCTTGTTCTGTATAATATGCTTTATTGTGCTTTGTTCAGCCAAGTTTTAATTAACTTAAGAAATATGACTTTCCTACACTGAAGGCTTGCAGGAGATTATTCCATCACCTGCAAGTTTTTGCTCTGGGGAAGGACGCGTGCATTATCCAGCGAGACTTGGCCTTTACCCTTACTGCAGTCCTTTTTTTCAGTAGTTCATGGGTGGTTTTAAACTAAGAAGCAGTTGCCAATAAAAGCCTGAATCTAAACTCTTTGTATCACAGTACGCATCTCTCCAGGCAGGTCAGAAACAACGTAATTCCCACCAACAACCTCTGTTTTGAAGAAGTTCACGTTTTTTCCTGTCGTGCTAAATTTAAGATCCACTGTTTAATTTTTAATGCCCTACATTTTCCTCACTTTCAGTGCAGAAATGGTCGGTTTAGGGTAACTTGGGTGAGATTCACCTGCCCATAGTATAGACATCTAGAAGTTAAACAGCAAATCCAAATCCACCAGCTTCACATTTTCTTGATAGATGGACAGCAATAACCATCTTCAGATGGCAAGTCTTCCGATGTCTTAGGATAAGAGGAATGATTCTTTGAACGCTTCTGTTCCTCCCAAGGGGCTACAGAGGTGGTCAAGGTTGATTCATTCAAACTTGGATATTTAAGCTTTAGACACCTAATTCTGGATAGATGAATCTCTCTGTTTCTCTTTCTTGTAATTCCCTTTTCCCTGTTAGAAACTCAAGAGAGCCTTAGCCTTGATTCACCCAACACTACTCAGAAGAATTTCCATTGCCTTCATATGATGGCCTGATTTTCAGGTGTTAAGACTTACAACAGAAGCAGATTTTCAAATCGGTTGACCATTCAACTACCCCAGAACTCCTAAAAGCATGGGCCCTTACTTTTCTGCCTAAATGAGAGCTTTCTTATTTAAAAAATCTACCCGCAAATATCCAGCTTGGGAGAGAGCACTTCCCCCGCTGACTGTAAAACACTGCAAGCTGCCATCTGCCTGCGCTCGACCAGCCGCAAGCTGATTTCAGCAAACGTGGGAGCTGTTCAGTCCCCTGACCATCCCTTCTTTCCTCGTGCCATGCTTTTTTAAGCATCAGTGCAAGTCAAGGTAATAGTGTCTTCCCCTTAGTGCAAACATTTATCATTCTTGTGGGCAAGCTATCATTAAACTTTCTCATTTCCAGTCTTTCACAATGGTATAATAACACAATGAAGTAATAGTAAAATAATGACTAGTAACCCAATTTTCAATTAATTAAATGCATCAAGCCCAGCTCTGTTTTAAACCCCCCTCTAATTTCTCATAAAAACCGAAAAAAGCTTTGCTCTTTGCACTGCTGCCCTTTTATAGCTTTTAAGAATCCTAAAGATTTTTTCCCCTGTAATCTTCTATAGACTTTTTTTCCCAAGTATATGAGAATTATCTGGAGAAACAGTTGTTGATGCTTTTTCCTGGAAGACTTTTGGAGACAGACTGTCTGGAGAGGGTAACGTCCTCACAAAGGTTAGCAAGTGGGCAGGACTGTCTGTGTTTCTCAGCTATGCAGGTGCAGAGCTGCGGAGTCAGAAAGTCTGACAGCATCACCAGGCACAGATAAATACTGCTTTTTTTTTTTTTTTCCTTTAAATCAATGGAATTGATTCTTCCCTGTGTCTGAATTATATTTGGCAATATAAACAACAGAGAGCTGTGCGTGGCAGAATTCTTTTTCAAGGCTTGCCATGTCAGGGGTACTTATTCTCCATGGTTTACTCTGCAGCCTGGGGGACAGGGGACATTCTCCACTCACCAGCAATGGCCGGCTTCCCCAAGCCCATGCCTCCAAAAACTACAAGAGATCCAGACCCAAAATGCAGTTCAGTCCCAGAACCCACGTCATAGAATCACAGAATCGTTTAGGTTGGAAAAGACCTTCAAGATCATCCAGTCCAACCATTAACCTAACACTGCCACGTCCACCACTAAACCAGTTAAGGGGAGAGGAATAATTAATTTCATGTTTCCTGGCTTGGTGGTTGGATTCTTTTTTAATGAAAGTAAAACTAGGAATCGCTAAGCTTGGAAAGGCCCTCTAAGATCATCAGTCCAACTGCCAACCCAACACCACCATGCCTACTAAACATCTCCACAGCATGATTGTTATTGCCCGTATCTATTTTGAAGCTGAGCGTCACTGCCTTTTCCTTCCATCCCGAAGGTTGAGAACATACTTCCTCTGCTGTGCCGAGGAGCGCCTGGTGCAGATGACGGCCACTACCACCACCACCACCACGGTGATGACGCCGATGGTGACGACGATGATGACAAGGAGGTTGCTGTTCTTCTGGGGTGTGACGCTGCCGTGGGGAGGGTGCATCTGCCCGATGGGAGGCTCTGAAAGAAGACAGAAAACAAGGGGATGGTTAGCGCTGGATTTGCTCCCCTCCCTCTTTAGGAGCCACCCATAAAATAAAACACATAAAGCCTGTCAGGTGGCATGAATTCCTCTGGAAAAGCAGACGGAGGGTACAGAAGGGTGTCATAAAGAGCTGAAATTTATGTCTCGCTGCATTTCAGTGGTACAGCAAGCAGGAAAATATTTAAGCAGTAATGACTTTGCATTTGCTGGGTGTTAATAACCTGATGTTGGGAGTCAATAACTCAGCTCATTTTTGCTATTATCAGCTGAAAATGGAAATACAGGGACTATGGATTTTTTCTTTATGGCCCATATAGTCTGTCTCGGTATTTACAGGCAAATACATATCTTGTGTATCAGCCAACCTGAATGCCTGGTTCATTTGTCAGTACTGCAGTCAGTCTCACTTCACATTATATTTCGTTTATTGTTATGCTGACCAGATCCTTATGCAACACTTGAGCAGGTTAAGGGCTCAATCTTTTGAAGTGATGAGCTTCCTTAGTTTCAATGCAGCAGCAAGACCGGGACTGAAAACAGCATCGTTTCTGGTGTCAAGTCCCAGTCAAACTGACTTCAAGTGGTCACTTGACACTGGTCCTTGCTTTCAACAGTATTTTCCCTACTGCACTGGGAATAGCTGCGTTTATATTTTTATAGAATCATAGAATCATTTAGGTTGGAAAAGCCCTTTAAGAGCATCCAGTCCAACCATTAACCTACACTACCAAGTCCACACTAAACCAATCAAGGGTAGACTAGACTAAACCATGTCCCAAAGTGCCACCTCTGCCCGTTTTTTGAACCCCTCCAGGGATGGGGACTCCCCCACCTCTCTGGGCAGCCTGTTCCAATTCTTGACTACCCTTTCCATAAAGAAATTTTTCCTAATTTCCAACCTAAACCTCCCCTGGCGCAGCTTAAGCCCAATTCCTCTCGTCCTATCACAATAATAATAATAATAATCTTATTGGATAACACCTCTATTCATGCAGCCATACGTTACAGACGCCTGCACAAAACAGCGAGCAATCCTTTTGCTCTGTCTGCTAAGGCAATCTTATAGGCAACCTATAAGATTACAAACTCACAAACCCCAAAATACCTTTCCACTTAAGCTTGGAGAAAAACTAAATATTCGGTGCAACGGGATGCAAAGGGAAGAGCTGTGCTACAGCATGTCCAAGATTTCAAAAGAAAAGTAACTCAAGAGTTTTCATGTGCCGTCGTCCCCACAACATCCCACGTATAAGCTAAACAATACTTGTCTGGGATCTCATTTTGCCTTTAGTACAACTGAATGTGAAAGGAAAAAAGGACAAATCTTTCCAAATAACAGTTTTAGTTAACAATAGATGTAATTTAATTGTAATATTCTGCCTTGATTTTCTGACCTAATATCCTTTCTTTACTTAACTAATTACACTATTTAAATAATCTGCCCTTTTCTCACAGCTTTTTCAGGCAACTCAATAAGACAAGCAGCTGCAAGTGCTGTCCTTTCAGCATTACAACAGTCTAGTACAGAAATCCCAAAGATTTTGGGGTTTGGTTTCTTTTTCATTTCCACGCTGAGTAAAAGGCATTGAAGGAATACACCACATAAAATATGGCGACTATCAAGAAAACCAATGTTTTTTCTCTCCCTACCCTTTATTGCAGACCTTGGAAGCTCTGTTCTAAAAGGTTTTCTTATATTTATGATGAACTACTATAAAGAGCAGGAGAAAAGCCTAAAACAGCGGTGTGATGGCTGCAGCAAAGTAGGACAGGAAAAGGTAACAAAATTTTGCATTCCCTCCTTGTCTTGACTGAGGAAAATAATCAGCGCGAGTTAATCAGCTACGTGCCTTGTAATTATTTTGTACTTTCCAAGCTGACTTGATACCACATTTGAGGGAACGCTGTCTGTTGTCTCATTCAATAATGTGCGATGACAGTGCTTCATGAGGTAACAGAGGTGGGGTCAGGAATAAGAAGTTAATGATAGCGTATCTACACCCCAGCTGGCACTGATTAGGTTCAGTTAATTTTTGCTAATCCACAGGATTCCCTCTCACGTCTTCCTATTTTAGGGCAGGATTAATTAATTAAAAAAAAAAAAAAAAAGGTATTTTCTGCAGAAAGCTTAAACTGAAATATAATAATGTAAAATGCATTTTACAATTCTTTTTAAGCTGTTGGTTTTTTAGAGGCATTCCCATGGCCTGAGATAAATCTAAAACTTCTCTTGCGATGGCATTATCATACCCAGTGACACACTTTTGGGAGTACTGCATCAGCTGGAAATCTGACGGACAGTTTGTGGATCAGCTTTAGGAAAGCCAAAACAGAATATATGATGCCCTGACCCTATTGTTTGTTAACATTTCTGGTTAAAACTACTGTCTGGTTTGCAGCAGGTATTTTGCAGGTGGATGAGATTTTCAGCTGCCGAGATAACGCTTCCCTACAAAACAGCGAGCGTGCGACCTGTGAACACATTGGGTGGCCTCCAAACCATGAGAAAGAGGAACGGGAGAGCAATCAAGAGAAGAAAAGTAGGAGGTTATCACCAAAACTGCACTTAATTATGGAGCATGGTTGGACGGAGGCTGTATTTACCGTTCAGACTGCTCCTGTCAATCAGGTTGGTGTCCACCGGCCAGTAGGAGCCATCCCCGTGACGACCTGTTGGCAGAAAAAAATGCATCAGACACGGCGTGACAGGTAAACCGGCAAAGTCAAGTTTGCTGCTTGAGACGGCGCCTGTCTCACAACGTTTAAACTGTTAAACAGTGAGGGAAAAGTCATCCCATATGTGCTGGGGAAAATCTGTCATCAAAGCAGGCTTTGGAAAGCAAGCTGAATTTCAGCCCTTTGAGCATCTTGCCTTGTTCTGTTGGGTTTTTTTCCCCTCCTCCAGATGTGCTCGTTAGAGTGACAAACTAAGGTGAGATGGCAGCATCCATCTGTGCCCCCTCCACGGGTGACGGGAATGATGCAGACAGCTGCTTTTGCACACAAGCGGCTGGAACTGCGGCAGGGGGACGGCGCTGTACCGAAAATCGCGGGCACGTTCCCCACCTGCCAGGTGGCTTTCCGCCACGATTAAGCAAGCTTTCTTTAATTTATTTTCCCACTTGTGGAAACACAGTTGTGGAAATACAGCTGCACAACTGCTTGGGTTTTACAAAAGGACTGCCTGTTTTCTAACCCTGACATAAAAAAAAGGTAGAAAAAAGAAGTGATATGATTATTATTCCAAAACTGTTTTGGCTGTTGAGACAACATTTGCACTCCAAATTAATATAGTAAAATTTGAGGTCTTCATCTTCTCCTCTGCTTTATTTTCTCCTATTTATCAGCCTTGGGCTAAACAGCCATGATGGTACGTCCATGTTTCTGCCAAGAGCAGCGTCTCTGCTTCCTCATGTCTGACATAAGGAGAATCGCAAAGGTTGGTAAAGTCCTACCAAGCTCCTCTTTGCCTCTACCGGTATGGGACTGAGCAGTCAAAGTCCATGGCAGAAGTGGTTTGGGGTAAAAGCCGCTCTTCTGGCAAAGGCCAACCCTATGCCAACAGCGTGCTCTTGGTATGGGCATACTGCGCTATAGCAAAGCCCGAAACGTGGCCATCTCATTCCTCCAAAGCTAATTCTGTTTTCATTTAAGTCAGATGAGCGTTCCCAGGTGGCAGTCTCTGCTGATGCAGTAGTGCTCTGCGGGGACCGTGGTTCAGGGAAAAGACATCCTCCCCCGAGACGGGCAGAGGCTGCCGGAGCAGCACATCAACACCGACTGCGTAAGACCCCTGCACGCTATCTTTTTTGGCTCTGCCAAAAGACAAATAGTACCTGAGGGTGGGTTTTGGTTTGTGAAGGCACTATGTAAAAGTTCTGAAAACGTAGTGCAGGGCAGGGAACTACCAGGGAATACTGCAGATCGCTTCTACATCAAACCACCACCGTCTACATCAGATCTTTGGGCAGCTTAGCAAAAAACCCCACATTTTCTCACTTTCCTGCAGTTGTTTGTTGCTGCTGTGCGCTGTTAAACAACTGCCATATTCCTCTCCAGAGGTACTTGTATTTCTGTGGATTGCGAAGAAATTCACGTGCATAACTTTGTCTACCAATTTGGAAAGTATTTTGTGATGAATGGCCCTAAATAAATGGAAGATGATTATCATCAGAAGAGACTTCAATGTAATCATCTTTTCAATCAGCATAATTGCACAGCTACAACAACTTCATCCCAAGAAAGCAAGGTTGCAAAATGTTTAGCTGTAAAAGCAGACAAAATAGAGATAAATGTAAGGTATACATAATTCTGTTTACCAAGGTGACACTCTAAAGCACTCCTATTCATGGTACTACACTGCAGTGTGTGAACACGTTGTTGTGACCCCGGGGTTATATTGTGCTTAAGAAACTGGGTATCTCCATGGGAGACTGCTAAATGTTACTATTTTTATATTTAGCCCACACTGAAACATTTTAGCGGGAGCCTAACACATTGGAAAATTTAGTCAGGATATTGGAGAATTAAAAAAACTAACCCTGCATACCCGACTCTGAAGTTTAGTACTTTTTAAATTAACATAAGAGCACTTTTCAAGGCATTATACATGACATTTTCATTGCAAAAGTATTTGTGTAAAGAGCTGCCCATTTCATTTGTGGCTCTAAGACAATGACTGGCACCTGGAGATGCCATTTATTTGGGATGGCTGCAGCACGGAGGCAGCCAAGCAGCAACCGGGGAAAGCTTTGGGCTACACCATCCATCTTGGGGCGTTCTTGGGCTAGGAATGTTTCTGAAACGATTTATGTTTTAAAACCGTCCCAAGGCAGCAGAGTCTTCCAGTTTTACTCACTGAGGGTAGCTCTTTCAAAAGGCCCAACTTCTGATCAGAGGTAATTTCACTGATAAGAGACAGGAAAGCAAGTAACTCCGCACAAACAGTATTTCAACAACACTCTTTGTCAGGGATAACCAAGATCGAATTTATGGTAATTTGGATCTGTTCTTCTATTAAGACATACAACCATTATTCAATATTTGGATAAACATGGAAATCTAAGCACGTAGGAGATGTGAGGTAAATCTCTGATGTAAGGATTGTAAGGTTTTATATGTTCAAGGGTAGGTAGGGCTTAAACCCCTAAGGATTATCCATGCTCTGTTCCAAGCCAACACACCTCCATGAATCATTTCTATCTCTAGCTCTCACTTGGCAACAGTTTAGGTTATATTTCCCTTTAAAAAACTCAAATGATGTGCAAGAGCATTGCTACTTTGAGGCTATTGCTTCATTTAGTCTCAAGGCCTCAGGTTTTGACTACCTTTAGAATAATCTAATTTTAAAAGTAAGATAACCTGTGTGCTTTCACTTAATTTTCATCTTCAATACCTTTACTGCACTCGTCTGTTCGCGCTGTACTCACTACTGCTGTCGCTCTCCATCTCCTTCCCAAGTCCACCGGTGGGTTTCTTGTCTTACAGAAGACAAGCACAAAACTCCTGTCCCGCTGAGTTTAGATGTAAACCCTCAGCGTCAGCCAGAAAGTCACGTACAAGGTGGGCATAACCCAACAGATACGTCCAGATCTCCTTTGGGTTTTTTGGGGGTCAGACAATAGACTCTCCAACTCCCACCAGTTTCCAGTGGAGCCTTTTTCCTTTGTATTATTCCATGTTTTGGAACAAACCATTATAAACTCTTGAGTAATCAGCTGTTTCTTTGAGAACTGCCTTTATTAATGGCAGTTAAACAGTCTTTAAACCTGATCGCCCAAGTTTTTTAATGAGTTGCATTAAAGGGGGAAACATACTTTCAGAGGTACCAAAACCTGCATCCATATGAACCTACATATCATTTCTCACCTCTCACTTCTCTGTTCAACTTCTGGTTTCCCCCAGGTCTGTCTTTCAAATGTGTCAGTAACTTGAGTCTTTCTCTGAAAAAGCATATCTTTTTCCCCACAACTGTATCTCAGATGCCATTATATGAAATAAACATTTCAACTTGGTCTTGTCAAGGGAAAAAAAAAAAAAAATCAAGTTGTCAGTGACAACAACAGTTCTTTATCCTCTCAGGTCTCCAGCACTTGGAAATTGGCCAAAAATTCTGTTGTCATTTTGCTGTAAATCTCCTCCTTTTTTTTTTTTTATGCTTTACTTGAGCAGCTTCCTTATTTGCAAACTTCAGGTATCCCTGCACGGCATGGGCAGATTGGTAGATGTTGAGGGAATGCTCTCTCCTGGCAAAATGCTCACTGCAAGCCAACTACCTGAGCTAGAGAGCTGGAGGGGGAATGACACTTGCTGTTATATCGTCTGGCTCCTCTGAACCAGACATGGCCCTGCACTACCACTGTTGCTGTGTTTTGCCTTAAACAGCCCAAAATATGGAGAAAATACGCTGAGCGATATTCTCATATAAGACAGCAGAGACTGTAAGCGATATTTCCTGCCCCATGGGTGTCCCCAGGGAGGTTCAAACATGCAAACTAAGTCGCTGGGAAGTTCAAGCACACAAACTAAGCCACTGGCTCTCACAGCCAACACAAGCTGTCAGGCATACAGCGCCAGCAGAAAAGCTGCTCTTCTGCTTCCATGAAAAAGCTGAGCTCCCTAAGTTAGTTATGGCACCGAGTACTTGGAAACCTGCTCCAGGATAGAGCAGAAGATAGCAGAAGATAACAAATTGCCTTCAGGGGGCAGCTCTAGCTCGCTGCTGACCTGCAGCCCTCCTAGAAACCCGGTGGAATAAGGAAGCTCAGACATGGCAGAGTAAAAGCAGAGTAAGGAGGATGGCTGAAAAGAAAGGGGCAATGGGAGCTTCTGCCCCGAACAGACACACAGACATCTGAGAAAAAGAAAACACCCCCCTAGCGCCTTGTTCCAATTCGGTATCATCTTCTGGGAAGGCAGAAATACACGTTAGAAGAGAGAAGGGTTGAATAATACGCAGTTCAGCATCGCTCCAGAGGCTGCTCTTCATCCTGGAAGCTGGACACCAGTTCAGCCCAAGATGGGTAATGCTGTGCGGCCACATCGCGTATTCGCACACCCAGCTGGGAGGGTGAGCGGTGGGTCACACCCTGACTCCAGAGAGTACCGAGGTGAGGATCCATCTCCATGTGCACAGCCATTCACAGGTTCCCTCTTTGGTCAGTGATGAGAGAAGGAAACCTCACAACCGTGACTGAACCTGCTCATCTTGGATGGGAAAAGCTGGTTTTTGAAGGTACCCACCTCTCCCCATTGACCACACTGTCTGGCAGACTTCGGGATGTACCACATTAGCTTTCACCACTGAGGTTCTGCATCCATCAGCATGTAAACAAGTCAGAGCATGAGGACTCGTGTCTTCTTCCCATCTGTGGTCAGCCCCTGATAATGAAGGAGATGCCCGCGTTGGCCTGGTGACAGCTGAAGAGCTCAGCGAAGGCAGGGGTGTTTGCAAGTTTGCTTATCAGCAAGTATAAACTGGCAGACTTCTTGGAAAGATGCTGGGGCTCGGGGCAGAAACGCAAGATTGGGTGAACAGATACACACAATACCTGCTGACTTCCTTTTCTGTCTTAAGGGAATCCAGAGATAGTTGTCTCAACCATGCCTCAGTGTAGCAGGAAACACGACCAATATGCAGGAATTAGCTCTCGCCTTTAAATTTCAAGCTTGCCTTGCCTTCTGAGATGCTTTCCATTTTTTGGACCTTAAGAAAGAGTTCTGACACCTGCTTGGTAAACGTAGCCAGACGACAGAGTTTAAAAAGTGCTTTTTTTTTTTTTTTCTCCCAGAAGGGGTTATTCTGATAAATGGGATACTTATTTCTCATCTGTAGCGAAGAGCATTACAGACCACTGCATTATTTGTTTAGGAAGCAGCTCTTTGAAAAAGTTGAACCGCTCATCCTTTTACTCCTGCTACATTCAAAGTTTGCAAAATAGCTTCAGAACCGAAAGCCCGGAGCCATCAAAAGCTTTAACAGGAAAAAAAAAGAGGCAAACTTGATGCCTTCTGCAGTCACAGTATGAGACGATGTGACTGTTTTGGGGCTGATATCAGGCTGTAGATTTACTGGCAGCTGTTTTCAGGCTGGAAGGCATATGCAGAAAAACGAGCACGGGAAGGTTTCAAATGGGCAAACAGCAACACGCCTGCAATAATCCAACATGGCAAAGGTTGAACGGCAGAAAGCCAAATTGCAGGCATGACTAGACCGGGCTTCAAACCCTCTTGCTCTGAAAGCTGAAACAAGTGGTGCACTGTTAACTCGCGAGGCGCAGAGCACCGAGGTGTAAAATGGCAGGTGTGTGGTCAAGCACGCCGTGTTCGTCCCCTCTTCAGAAGAGGCAAAGTCCCCAGCATCACTTGGAAACCCTTCCGTGTGCCTCCAGACTGGATGCAAAACAACGCAGACCACCATTTTCCTTGGGATTTGCAAACAAGAGCTGTGGATTTCTGACTCGGATGATTTTCTCCACAGGCTTTTTGTGGAGCCTGGGTATGGTCGCTGGCCCTGCTCCAGGCATGGGGAACAGGAGACTGGCCTCACCACGGCAGTAAACATTAAATCTGAACTTGTCAATATCTAGTTTCTGGTTTAAAAAGAGTAATGTCATAAAAAAAAAAAAAAATCGTACCTGTATTCCAAACGTAACAGCTTTCCATAGTGATATACGAGTTTATCCGGACAGTTTATGTGACCCATTTCATGGGAGGTACATTTTCAGAAAATAATTGAACAATCAAAATGAAATTGAAATTTCCTAAGATAAGGAGAAACATTTGTTCAAAACTGTGTATGTTTCCTTTTATCAAAATTTACAGGGGACGTTATAAAACATTTGTAGTCCAAAAGCAGAAATCAGCTTTTTTTTTCTCTTGCAAAGATCTAATTCCGATGGCAACACGTAACTGTTGACAAGTCCTATATTGACAAAATACGGACCAAAGAATTTAATATTGTTTTATCAAATGGAAACTGGGGCAAGATAAAATATAATCGATTAATCTCTTTTTTGCCCAGTTTGCCTCTATATATTTCAGATGAAAGTCATAAATAGAGTTTTTTAGACTCTGGGAAGCCTCTACCACAGCTATCTGAAAACAGCTTGTCTTGTCCCACATGCGTAAGGTTTGTGACAAAAATTCTCTCTTGAGCATCTGAAACCGTAATTTCATTCTTACTTTTATATTACCATTTTTACTGCCTTTGAATATGCCCTGCTCTACCAGTTGCATACAGGCAAAATAAAAATCTGAAAGGAAGCTGACGCATTTAGGGGCTTGGCACCCACTTCAGGTTCAAGGGCTCTCTTGGGAAATGTGTGATTTGATTCTCTAGGTGCCGACGCTCCTCTTTTTGCCCTTCGGATCACAGAGTTTGCACCCTGGGGCCATTATTCACATTTCATCAACAGGATTTCTCATTCTCTGTCAGACAGCTGCGGACCAACGCTTCCACAGGACGGGATGGGCTCAACTCTGTCCATCACTGGTGGGCAAGAATGAAGTAACGGAGGTGAGGTATCTCCTGCCCTCCTTCCTCTTCTCAGTGGTAGCCCCTTCTTGCAGCGGACGGTCTCTGCTCTCCCAGGGAGTTGCAGCAACAGGGAGCACATTTGCCCAGACCAAGAAACCTCTGAAGTTCTCCCTAAACTCTCCTGTCCTCCCTATCTCCTTTTTTGCACCTAAGGATGGCAGCAGTTGTACTGTCCCTTCTAGCTGACCCCACATCTGGGATTTTCAAAGCTCTACCACATCATGCCCTGAAACCTTGGTGTCTCTGCCCAAACCCCCTTGCATGTCCCACACCCTCCAACAGTGCTTTCCTGCCACGTAAGGGAATCATAGAATCATCGAATTGTTTAGGTTGGAAAAGACCTTTAAGATCATCCAGTCCAACCATTAACCTACACTGCCAAGTCTACTCTAAACCAATCAAGGGTAGACTAGACTAAACCATGTCCCGAAGTTCCTGAACTCAGGAACCACAAGCCGGCATTAGAGACAGATGACCTACCAGAGTTAATTCATGTCACTCAATAAAAATGACAGAGATGGCCCAAAGGACCTTGTCCAAAGCACAGAGTAATTTAAAAGGCTCCCACTGACTCCAGTAGGCATTGGTTCAGGATGATTAAAGAATCAGCTTTGATGATTTCTAAGGCAAATGAGCTTTCAGAAACTTTGACTCTGATTGTCTTAATGCTTGTGCCTGGAATACAGTTACAGTGAGACCTGACCCCATCGGTTTGTCTTTAACAGAACTGCCTAAAGATCGAGTAAACACGAGCGAAGAACTCAGACTTCGTATTATTAGAATTCATCATTGAGGTCACATAAAAATGGAAACTGAATTTAGATATCAACAAGCCTATGGAAGATACAACAAAAGGCTGAGAGTTTCTCCTCCTTATATACTACAGTCCTAAAGAAGGAAAATGCAGTGTATTTCAACTACCCAGGTGAAAGACTGTATTTATGTACTAGGAGTGACTGTGTTTAACTCAGGCTCTGCATACCTGCTGTCTGCTAAAGACACGCTAACCTCGTTTCATTTTTGTAAGTTATTTGACTCAAATCAAATCAAAAAACCCCGCCGTACCTGAAGCAATCGGGAATTCACGGGCTATGGCTGCAATCCCAGCACAGTTAGACCCTGGGGATACGCTTCAGCCAGACATCCTGCTGCAGGTAGTTACACAAGACTGGTTGAATTCTTTCCTGTTTTGAAGTCTATACAGAGTATTGTTCACTAAATAGGTCGCAAACACTGTTCAGGCTGTACAAGAACAATGAATTATTCCAGCGACAGTTTTTCTGTAGCAAGGAAAACCCTAGCAAGGGGCACAGCATTCCCACAGGAACACGATGCACAAAAGGAAAATGACCCAGACCTCTTTTTTTCTGTGGTAGTTTGAGGAATATTTATTCCCCTACCATATACAGCATAGCTGCACTTAATCTGTCATGCTTATTTACATCTCCCCACCAACGAAACTACAGCACAAGGTGGGACAGGCAGGTCTCTCTGCAGAGGATCTGATCCTTTATATCCTCGTGATGGATGCAAGTTCACCACTCTATGGAACATACGAACACTTCTCCACATTTCCTATGGTTTTTTGTCTCCCATAACGCATTGCAAAAGTAGTATGTAGAGCATCCAACAAATTCTGGATTTTCTGCAGCATTCCATGGAAAGAAGCAAGCAGAAGCACAGAAGCTTGCTGTGAGACTATATGTGGTACCTGGCACAAAGTAAAATCCTAGTGAAGAAATATGCTCTGGGTTAGCTCCAGGGATGCTCCAGGTCAAAGTAAAACCTATGAAAGGGCCTAGAGTTGACTTTGATCTTCTAAATAACCTTTTCTTGTCTTCCCTAGGAATTATTTATTGCAGGTTAACTCAACTCACTAAACTGGGGTAAGACGGTAGCTGTTAAGTGAAGCCAGGGAATTGAGGTTTACACCTCACTTTGCCTTTTAAACCAGCGTGAAGTGAGAGTTCAAATCCAAACAAACCTCCCAAGATCAAGCCTGAGTTTCCCAAACGTTACCAAGACTGTTTCCTTGGGCAGATGTCACATAAATGTACAATGCTTTAGCTGTAATTGAAAGAAACACTTAGGAATAATGTAAAGTAAAAATAAAGTAAAAAAAAGGAAAAAATATCCTAGCAACAGACTTCACAAGTATTCGAAAGGAGATAGGAGCAGAGGAACTGTGACTAATCAGACATATATTCATATTTGGAAAATGTAATGATAATGCCTTGAAAAGTTGACTAAACTTTGCTATTATTTAACAGGAGCTGCTGGTTTGAGAGAAAAGATGATTTATGATTTCTCACTGTGAGGCTTTTGAACTTTAATCTATAACCCATGAAAGGGTGCACGAGGAGCCTGGAAATTATGCTGAGCTTAATTATACTTAATGTGAATTATTCAGAAGTGCAGCAGAGAGACTAAAAATTTATTTCATACAAAGAAGCTTGACATTTTAATTGGTCCTTCAGAAAAGAGACAAAACAATTTCCTCTCCTGAAAATTTACATCTTCCCCATCAAAGCAGCAGCCTCAGCCGAGCAGAACTTCATTAACAAGATTAATTATCACGCCAGCGTCTGCCTCATCAGGTGTGCAGGCCAGGTGAAAAGCACGGCCCCCTCCCCGGCGCGCCCCCGAGGCCCCGGCAGAAAAGGCGACAGATTGAGGGCACCGTACCTTGGTCATTAGCCATTTTGTCAGGGTGTTCGACTGCAAAAAAAGAGACAATGTCATTAGAGGCTGACAGCTCCTCGCAGGCAAGCCGACGCATCACGTCAGCTATCGTGTCAGCCGGCTGGCGCGGCGCTGCCTTCCCGCACCGGGGGCGGAGGATGCAGGAGGACGGGCTGAGTTTTACCGTTCCCTTTTTCGGAGGGATCCTGGAGAACCGAGAGGACACACACACAGAATCATAGAACCATAGAATCACGGAATATCTCGAGTCGGAAGGGACCCGTAAGGCTCATGGCGTCCAACTCCCTGCTCCTCGCAGGACTGCCTACAAGTAAACCATACGGCCAAGAGCATCGCCCAGACGCTCCTTCAACTCTGAACGCAGGTGGAACCGTGCCCTATGTCCGATATTTTCCCCAAGTTTCTCCAAATGCGAACCCTTTACCGCAGCATTTTTTCGGTCTCTTGTTCTTTTTGGGTATGATCTGGGAGGTTTAATTAA